AGGCGTGGATTTTTTAAACGAATATTTTTTCCAAAAACCCATAAGGCGTGGATTTTTTAAACGAATATTTTTTCCAAAGACCCATAAGGCGTGGATTTTTTTTCCAAATACAATCGACCATAAGGCGTGGATTTTTTAAACGAATATTTTTCCAAATACAATCGACCATAAGGCGTGGATTTTTTAAACGAATATTTTTCCAAATACAATCGACCATAAGGCGTGGATTTTTTAAACGAATATTTTTCCAAATACAATCGACCATAAGGCGTGGATTTTTTAAACGAATATTTTTCCAAATACAATCGACCATAAGGCGTGGATTTTTTAAACGAATATTTTTCCAAATACAATCGACCATAAGGCGTGGATTTTTTAAACGAATATTTTTCCAAATACAATCGACCATAAGGCGTGGATTTTTTAAACGAATATTTTTCCAAATACAATCGACCATAAGGCGTGGATTTTTTAAACGAATATTTTTCCAAATACAATCGACCATAAGGCGTGGATTTTTTAAACGAATATTTTTCCAAATACAATCGACCATAAGGCGTGGATTTTTTAAACGAATATTTTTCCAAATACAATCGACCATAAGGCGTGGATTTTTTAAACGAATATTTTTCCAAATACAATCGACCATAAGGCGTGGATTTTTTAAACGAATATTTTTCCAAATACAATCGACCATAAGGCGTGGATTTTTTAAACGAATATTTTTCCAAATACAATCGACCATAAGGCGTGGATTTTTTAAACGAATATTTTTCCAAATACAATCGACCATAAGGCGTGGATTTTTTAAACGAATATTTTTTCAAAGACCATCGACCATAAGGCGTGGATTTTTTAAACGAATATTTTTTCAAAGACCATCGACCATAAGGCGTGGATTTTTTAAACGAATAGTTTTCCAAAGACCATTCGTGGATTTTTTTAAACGAATATTCTCTATGATCCATCAATGTTTTTTCACCTGGATTGAATTTTAAAATTAAACGTGAAATTTCACGAATAATAAAACGATAATCTTCTGACATTTAAAATGCGTATAAGTAACGACAACACTGATACGCAACCAGATCACAAAGAAAAACTATTTTTAAAAGTGTTTTTGAGGGTCTAAAAAAAGTTAAGGGGTGACGTAGGGGATGATAGATACCAAAAAACGGCTCTGATTGGCGAAGTCCAGGCTTATCTTGGACCCTCTTTCATCTCAATTGTGGATATTGATCTCCCCGTGGTGTCACATGGGGTAGCTATTTTCATCACCCGTTGAAATAGTGAGCTAATATGTGCCGCGAATTCACCCATAAGAACTATAAAAAAATGAGTTGAGGCGTCGGGTTAGTTGCCCACCCTCGGAAAACCCAACCTACTATGAAAAAGCAAAGAAAAAGAAAACCAAACCCCCCTAATGTTGACGACCCCCGCAAACGTATAAAGGACCACGATCTGCGAATCTGCACTTGGAATGTTCGCACGTTGTACAGAAGAGGCGCAGTTTTCGCTTTGACGGATGTACTCAAGAAGTATAAAGCTGATATTATTGCCTTACAGGAAATGCCATGGAAAGGGACTGGCATAAGTAAGACTGGCTGCGGATTTATGATTAACAGAAGAATTAAAGACCTCGTCTCCAGATTCTCTCTAGTAGATGAGCGAATTGCTATAATCCGCATAAAAGCGAAGTCTACATCAGTCTTATTTGCGCCCATTCTCCGACCGACGACAAAGATGAGCAGGCCAAAGACATATTTTATGAGCCCCTAGAAACATCATATGATTGGTGCCCTTGCCATGACATTAAAATTCTTCTAGGAGGTTTTAATGCAAAAATCGGAAGGGAAAACATTTTTGGGCCCACCGTCGGGAAATTCAGCCTTCATGAAGAAACATCCGACAACGATATGAGGTTGATTGACTTCGCGGCAGCAAAAAACATGGTAGTTAGCAGCATCAGATTCAAGCATCTCGATATACACAAGGCCACCTGGATTTCTCCTGATCAAGCAACGAGAAACCAAATTGATTATGTTGTGATAGACGCAAGACATTCATCCAGTGTATTAAACGTTCGATCGATCCGAGGAGCGAATACTCGTTTTAATGTTGGACCAGGTGCGATCTAACACAACACGCAAACTCGACGTCGAAAAGCTGCAAATAGTGACGGTGAAGAAGATACCCCAGAACCAATAAGAGATGATGGTACAGAGTGTATACCACCTAACCAAGATGAGGTCATAAAAGCAATTAATCGGCTCAAGAATAATAAAGCAGCAGGAACCGATGGGTTACCACCCAAAACTATAGAGGAATTGGTCTTCTTCTCATCGCATATAAAGTGCTATCTAGTGTGCTGGGTGTACGATTGAAGCAAATGGTCAATGACATAATTGGCCCATACCAATGTGGCTTCAGACCTGGCAAATCCACCATTGACCAGATTTTCACTCAGCGCCATCCGCAATCCTGGAAAAGACCCACGAAAAACACATCGACACATACCATCTATTCGTCGACTATAAAGACGCATTGGACAGCCCTATCCGTTCAGAGGTGTTTAAAGCCATGTCTACGTTCGGCATTCCTTCAAAATTAATAAGGCTATGCAGGATAACGAGGATTCAGACAATGTGATAGTTTGTCGTGTGAACATAAATGACACCAGAGAACACATGTTACTCGCCAACGCCGATGACATCGACATAATGGGTCGAACATTGCGAGCGGTAACAGCCACAGCCAAAAAAAAAAAAAACACACCCTGGATAGAGTCCTTGAAACCCTTCAAAAACCCTTAATGGATCCTTAAAAACCCCTTAATGGATCCTTAAAAAATCCATGGATCCTTAAAATAATATTTGAGAAATCCACGACTTGGTTTATGGGTCCTTAAAAATAATTTTTAAAAAATCTACGCCTTGGTTTATGGGTCTTTCAAAATAATTTTTAAAAAATCCACGCCATGGTTGATGGGTCCTTAAAATAATTTTTAAAAAATCCACGCCATGGTTGATGGGTCCTTAAAAATAATTTTTACAAAATCCACGCCATGGTTGATGGGTCCTTAAAAATAATTTTTACAAAATCCACGCCATGGTTGATGGGTCTTTCAAAATAATTATTAAAATATCCACGCCATCGTTGATGGGTCCTTAAAAATAATTTTTAAAAAATCCACGCCTTGGTTTATGGGTCCTTAAAAATAATTTTTAAAAAATCCACGCCTTGGTTGATGGGTCCTTAAAAATAATTTTCAAAAAATCCACGCCTTGGTTGATGGGTCCATAAAAAATAATTTTTACAAAATCCACGCCATGGTTGATGGGTCCTTAAAAATAATTTTTACAAAATCCACGCCATGGTTGATGGGTCTTTCAAAATAATTATTAAAATATCCACGCCATCGTTGATGGGTCCTTAAAAATAATTTTTAAAAAATCCACGCCTTGGTTTATGGGTCCTTAAAAATAATTTTTAAAAAATCCACGCCTTGGTTGATGGGTCCTTAAAAATAATTTTCAAAAAATCCACGCCTTGGTTGATGGGTCCATAAAAAATAATTTTTAAAAAATCCACGCCTTGGTTGATGGGTCCTTAAAAAATAATTTTTAAAAAATCCACGCTTTGATTGATGGGTCCTTAAAAATAATTTTCAAAAAATCCACGCATTGGTTGATGGGTCCTTAAAAATAATTTTCAAAAAATCCACGCCTTGGTTGATGGGTCCTTAAAAATAATTTTTAAAAAATCCACGCCTTGGTTGATGGGTCCTTAAAAATAATTTTCAAAAAATCCAAGCCTTGGTTGATGGGTCCTTAAAAAAAAAAATTAAAAAATCCACACCTTGGTTGATAGGTCCTTAAAAAAATTTAAAAAATCCACACCTTGGTTGATGGGTCCTTAAAAATAATTTTTAAAAAATCTACGCATTGGTTGATGGGTCCTTAAAATAATTTTCAAAAAATCCACGCCTTGGTTGATGGGTTCTTAAAAATAATTTTCAAAAAATCCACGCCGTGGTTGATGGGTCCTTAAAAATAATTTTCAAAAAATCCAAGCCTTGGTTGATGGGTCCTTAAAAATAATTTTTAAAAAATCCACGCCTTGATTGACGGGTCCTTAAAAATAATTTTTAAATAATCCACGCCTTGGTTGATGGGTCCTTAAAAATAATTTTTAAAAAATGCACGCCTTGGTTGATGGATCCTTAAAAATTTTTTTTTAAGAAATCCACACCTTGGTTGATAGGTTGTTAAAAATAATTTTTAAAAAATCCACGCCTTGATTGACGGGTCCTTAAAAATAATTTTTAAATAATCCACGCCTTGGTTGATGGGTCCTTAAAAATAATTTTCAAAAAATCCCAGCCTTGGTTGATTGGTCCTTTAAATATTTTTTAAAAAATCCACGCCTTTGTTGATGGGTCCTTAAAAATATTTTTTAAAAAATCCACGCCTTGATGGGTCCTTAAAAATATTTTTTAAAAACTCCACGCCTTGATGGGTCCTTAAAAATAATTTTTAAAAAATCCACGCCTTGATGGGTCCTTAAAAATATTTTTTAAAAACTCCACGCCTTGATGGGTCCTTAAAAATAATTTTTAAAAAATCCACGCCTTGATGGGTCCTTAAAAATAATCCACGCCTTGGTTAGGGAGCCTTAAAAATAATTTTTAAAAAATCCACGGCTTGTAGATTTGCTCTGATTTTCATTTGTTTACCCTGGAATATTGATTTTTTGTTGTAACAATCGATTTCCTTTTATTGTCCTTCAAATCTCTACACACAATCCTTGGAAATCTGCAGCATATGCAGATGACATTTGACCTTTACATCATTGCCAACATCCTAAGCTGCACAGAGCAAGGTTGAAGGTTAAGTATGGCATTGGCACAAGTCCATACAGACCATTATTCTTCTTCAAAATCTCAAGATATTGATATTTCAAAATAAATTTAAAAAAATCGAAATTCACATTTAACTCACTTTCAAACATTCTGATGCGACTCCGTATATCCGTTGGTATACCTGCTGCTGTACGATTCGTCATTTTTGCTTTCGAAGTTTTGCCACCAAAAATAAAAAACTGAAAACTTCACAATGCAAATGAAATCAAAAGCGAGTTTTTCGATTTTATTGACCAATAATCTTCCGCAAAATATTGAAATATTGAACGCAAATGATGCAGAGACGAATCGAAACCGCTGTTAACACGTCCGATCAATTACCGACACTAAATTAGATTGCTGGGGGTTTTCACTTGTTTTTAATTGAATTTGAAAACAAAAGAGGCAACTCGTCAGAACAGAAATGTTCGAAAAAGCGATTCAGTTTACGAAAAATCAATTGCAACAACAACAATAACACAAACAACAAACGACCAGCCGGACGCGTGAACACAACACAAACATCAGCAGCAACAAGAACAAAAATTTATTGAACAAAAGCCGAACAAAAATTGAAAAAAAAATTACAACAACAACCACAATCAGCTGTGTTGCAATTGTTGTGGGTCGTCGTCGATTGTTGTTGTTGTTTTCACAATTTTGGAAAAACTGGTGTTTTCCGTTGCCGTTTTGTTTTATTTCTATTCTTGGCCTTATAAAGATTTATATTTTTCCATTTGTTAAAATGCAAAAAAAAATGAAAAAAACACCAAAACACTTAGGCCCGCACTTAACACAGATTTTGAAATTTTTGTTTGAAATTCTAACGCCGTTTTTTTCACTTTTTTTTTGTATGGCGATTTGGAAGCACAGCTATTTTAAAATTCGGCTCAAAAGAAACTCAAGTGTGGTTTTTATTGTTGTCGATTATTCCGGATGCAACAACATCAAAAATTCTTATAACGACGACAAGAACTTTGGGCCTCCGTGTGGCCAAAATTGCAAAAATTTGCACACATCTGCGTGATTCGTGTCACTGAGGCGTATGGAAATACTAACAGCCAGTCAGCCACTCGGCCTGGCTGTTTGTTCTGCTAAGGAATGTTGAAAGTGCAACCAAATAACCAAAAAATGTAGATGTGGAAGAATTCAAACAGCAACAACAAAAATAGCTACGGCTACGACAATGGCAGCTAAAAGCTGCAATATGCCTCCACCATCACCTCTCAACGGTAAAGTCACGTCTAACTATGTGGATGCCAAGCGGCATGCGCCAGGTATGCAAACAGGGGTTCGGATATGGAAAATGGATTTTTAAAAATTATATTTACCGACGCAAACCAAGGCGTGCATTATAAAAAAATGTTTAAGGATCCCCAAGGCAAAGCTTGGCTTTTCTAAAATTTATTTTTAAGGACCAAACACAAGGCGTGGACTTTGTTAGAAATTATTTTTAAGGCTCTCTTACCAAGGCGTGGGGACAGTTTGTGTTACCTGGTCCCACCTGGGGTAGCTATTTTCATCACCCGATGAAATAGTGAGCTAATATGTGCCGGGAGTTCACCCATAAGAACTATAAAAAATGGGTTGAAGCGTCGGGTTAGTCCCCCCACACTCGGAAAACCGAACCTACTACGAACAAGTGAAAAAGCGTTAAGTTCGGCCAGGCCGAATTTTTTATACCCTCCACTATAGATATACTAAAAGGTAGTTGAAATGAAAATGTAGGGAAAATACCAAAAAGTGGACCTATACCGACATTTCTACAACACGATTATGTAAACCATAATGTGAACCATGTTCCACAAAATAATGATTTCATCCAACCTGTGCCTATCTTATTATTCTTCCAAACTTAGTTCAGGTTCGAAAATGTGGACTATCGGTCCACTCCCTCTGATACCTCCCATACAGGTGCTAGGCCTAAATGCGGGTTATAGTTCATGTATAGTTCATTATCGAACCTTACGTTCTAGCTTTATCTCGATATCCTCCGCAGGTTAAATGATTACGACAGACTCTTAGAACCAAACCCAAAACGCGGAACAAATTAGATAACTATTTTAATATAAAAAAGGGGGTTATTTGGGGACTACCCCAAAAAGGGGGCGAATATAAATAATTTTTGGTAGGGAGATTTGTTACCATATACGACTACAAAATACCAAATTTCAGCGAATTCGGTTGAAAAACGCTCTCAAGAACCCCAAAATACCGAATATTGGGGGTACCCTTATATGGGGGCTACCCGAAAAAAATGGACCTATATTCATAATTTTTTGTGGAGATATTTGGTACCTATTAAGAACTCAAGGTACTAAATTACAGCCAATTCGGTGGAAAAATACGACCAAAACCCCCAAAATACTGAAAATTAGGAGGTACCGTTATATGGGGTCTACCAGAAAAAGTGGACCTATATTTATAATTTTTTGTGGAGACATTTAGTACCCAATAAGAACACAATGTACCAAATTTCAGCGAATTCGGTTGAAAGACGCGCTCAACAACCCTTATATGGGAGCTATGCCTAAACGTGGACCGATATATCCCATCTTCGAACTTGACCTGCCTGCAGACAAAAGACAACCCTATGCAAAATTTCAGCACCCTATCTCAATTCCTTCGGAAGATAGCGTGATTACAACAGACGGACATGGCTAGATCGTCTTAGAATTTTACCCTGATCAAGAATATATATACTTTATAGGGTCGGAAATTAATATTTCGATGTGTTACAAACGGAATGACAAAATTAATATACCCTCCATACTATGGTGGAGGGTATAAAAAGCAAAGAAAAAGAAAACCAAACCCCCCTAAGGTTGACGACCCCCGCAAACGTACAAAGGACCACGATCTGCAAATCTGCACTTGGAATGTGCGCACGTTGTACAGAACAGGTGCAGTGTTCGCTTGACAGATGTACTCAAGAAGTACAAGGCCGATATTATTGCCTTACAGGCAATAATATGGAAAGGGACTGGCCATGAAAAGAGACGTGAATTTGGCTGCGGATTTATGATTGACGGAAGAATAAAAGACTTCGTCTCCAGATTCACTCCAGTAGATTGCTATAATCCGTATAAAAGCGAAGTTCTTCTACATCAGCCTCATCTGCGCCCATGCTCCGACCGAAGATAAAGATGAACAGACCAAAGACATATTTTACGAGCGCCTAGAAACAGCATATGACATTAAAATTCTGCTAAAAATAAAATGTTAATGAACAAATCGGAAGGGAAAATATCATTGGCCCCACCGTCGGTAAATTAAGCCTCCACGAAGAAACATCAGACAACGGCATGAGATTGATTGACTTCGCGGCAGCAAAAAACATGGCAGTTAGCAGCGCCATATTCAAGCATCTCGATATACACAAGACCACCTGGACTTCTCCCGATCGAACAACGAGAAATCAAATCGATCATGTTGTCATAGGCGGAAGGCATTCATCCAGTGTTTTAGACGTCCAATCGATCCAAGGAGCGAATATGGATTCGGATCATTACCTTGTGGCAGCTAATGTACGCACCCGTCTTAATGTTGCAGCAAAGGTGCGATCTAACACACCACGGAAACTCGACGTCGAAAAGCAGCAAGCACACAGATAGCAGAAGCCTACTCCGCTTAACTTACCCAACTTCTTGACGAAAACACCCTTGTCCCGATAATAATATAGAAGCACAGTGGCAGAAAATTGCCTACTCCCTACAAACTGTAACAAAAGCAACACTTGAGTACCTAAGACCACCATCAAGAAATCCGCGGTACGATCAGGAGTGTCGTAATGCTACTCATATGGCAAACGCAGCGTATAGGTCAATCCTGCGGACAGTAGCAACACGTAAAGCGATGGAGAACTATCGGGAGAAAAGGAGAGAGGAGAAACGTTTTTTCAGAAGAAGAAAGAACAAGAAAAACGTGAGCGTGAGCAAATCGAGATTTATAGGAGTCAGAATGAAGTCCGGAAATTTTACCAAGGAGTAAAACACCAAACCGAAGGTTTTGGTGCAGGAACATCCAGACAGCGTGTTGAGGATCAGGAAGGAGAATTTTTGAAAAGCTTTTGATATCAAATAGTGGCGGTGAAGAAGATACCCCAGAACCAATAAGAAATGATGGTATAGAGTGTATACCACCTAGCCATGATGAGGTCATAAAATCAATTAATCGGCTCAAGAACTATAAAGCATCTGGAGCCGATAGGTTGCCAGCCGAACTATTCGAGACTGGTGGTCACATGCTGGTCAGGAGCATGCACCAGCTGATTAGTACAATTTGGCTAGAGGAATGCACGTCCCATGATTGGAACCTGTGTCCATCCTGTGTCCCGTGCACAAAAAAGGAGACAAGACGATATGAACTAACTATAGAGCAATAAGTCTCCTTTCCATCACATGTAAAGTACTATCCAGTGTGCTGTGTGAACGATTGAAGCCAATGGTCAATGACATTATTCCACCATTGACCAGATTTTCACTCTGCGCCAAATTCTGGAAAAGACCCACGAAAAATACATCGACACATATCACCTATTCGTCGACTATAAAGCCGCATTCGACAGCGCTATCCGTTCGGAGGTGTTTAAAGCCATGTCTATGTTCAGAATTCCTGCCAAATTAATACGGCTATGCAGGATAACTTTAAGTGGAACAAGGTCAGCTGTTAAATTCGGAAAGCACCTATCGGAGCCCTTCAATACCGAACGAGGATTTAGACAAGGTGATAGTTTTTCGTGTGACCTTTTTAACATCCTGCTGGAAAAGGTCATACGAGATGCAAAGGTGAACAGAAGTGGCACCCTGTACACCAAACAACACATGTTACTCGCCTACGCCGATGACATCGATATAATGGGTCGGACATTGTGAGCGGTTACAGCCACCTTTGAACAAATTGAGAAGGAGTCTGCCAAAGTGGTTCTGGCAGTAAACAGCGAGAAGACCAATCTGATGGTATCAACGCGCAAGACGTTCAATAGACTTGGACCAACTGTGGTACTTGAGAACTACAGTTTCGAGGTAGTTAAAGATTTTATATGCCTTAGTACCGCCATAAATAAAACGAATGACATCAGTTTTGAAATTCGAAGAAGGATGGCGATGGCCAACATGCTACTATTGTCTAAGTAAGCAATTAAGAAATAAGGCTACCACCCGCC